TATAATATATATAATATATAATATATATAATATATAATATATATTATATAATTTAGTTGTGGATGTTTGAGTGTACTTTTAAATTGTTTTTGAGTTTTGTTTGACCTTGAGCAGATTTAGATCAGAAAGTAAATAAAAATATTAAATAAATAAATAAATATATTTTTAGGTTTTGTTTGTTTAATAGCAGTAGTAATAAGCATATTAAAGCTATTTAAATATTTATTTTACGGTTTGTCTGCCTTGTAGATTTCTTCAGCTGTCTTTAATTATATTTTTATATCTTTAATTATATTTAATTGCCTTGGGTACATTTATAGAGGGTTTGACTCTTATAGGCTGCAGCCGGGCCTACGCTCACACCCTAGGGTTTAGGGTTTAGGGTTTAGGGTTTAGGGTTTAGGGTTTAGGGTTTGAGGTTTAAGGATAGGGGTTAGGTTTCACTTTCGTAATCTCGTTGCTTGGACTCTGCTGCTGCTGCTACTACTGCTGCTGTTGCTGCTGCTGCTGCTGCTGCTGCTGCTGAGAGGCGTCAGTTGATACGGCAACAGCAGCCGCAGATATTTCTAAACGTGTCTATGCATGCAGCAGTAGCAGCAGCAGCAACAGCAACAGCAGCAGCAGCAGCAGCAAAAGGGTATCATTATTTGTTGCAGGAAATGTCTAAGCCAGCTGCGTCCTTTCATCAGCAGCAGCAGCAGCTGCCGCTGCTGCTTCAAGTACGGGTGCTGCAGCAGCCAAGGCCTCTGCAACAGCAGCTGCTGGTCCTGCTGCTGCAGCAGAGAGCGCAGCAGCAGCAGCAACTGCTGCTGCTGCGTCCTCATTGCTGTTGCTTCTGTGTGCTGCCTGCAGCACTTCGTACGCACACCTGCAAACTGGGGGTCCGCTGCAGGTGCTGCTGTTGCTGCGAATTCGCTGCTGCTGCTGCTGCTGCTGTGATGATGTTTGTCTCCTCGTCGCGCTGCTGCACATAACGCAGCTGCTGCTGCTGCTTCTGCGACAGGGAATCATCTGCTGCTGCTGCTTCGCTCGGGTGCGTTCGTGCTGCTCCAGGGCTTTGTAAGCATCTGCTGCTGCTGCTGCTGCTGCTGCTGCTTCTGCTGCTGCTGCTGCTGCATGTGAAAGCTCCTCGCGGGGTGCCGAATAGAAGGTTGGCTGCTTGCTGCTGCTGCGCGCTGCTGCAGCAGCAGCGATGATCTCTTGTAGGGTCTTCCCTCTGCAGCAGAATCTTATTTGCTGCTGCTGCTGCTGCTGCTGCTGCTGCCTCTGCTTCACATCCGTTTGAAACCTGACCGTAGGCCCTGCAGTATTTGCTGCTGCTGCCACCGTCGGTGCTGTTGCATCTGTAGTTGCTGCAGCACGTCTTCCTGCTGCTGCTGCAGCAGCAGCAGCAGCAGCAGCACGAGCAATGCCTGTCCCTTTAATAAAAGCAGTACTCGGCAGCTGCTGGAAGTATGCATTAGCGGGGTCGCTCCGTGGTGAGACCCTGGGAGAGGCAGCAGCAGCAGCAGCAACAGCAGCAGCAGCAGCAGCAGCTGCAGCAGCAGCAGATGGCCCTCCCTCTGGGGGCGAGTCCGTGGGCCCTCTGCTGTCTCCTCCAAGGCTGCTGCTGCTGCTGTTGGTGCTGCTGCTGCTGCTGCTATGCAAAGAGATGCGGCGACGCAGCAGCAGAGCTGCAGCAGGGCGACCTGCTGCTGCAGGTAGAAAAACAAAACAGCAGCAGCATGAGGCAGTGCAGCAGCAGGTGATGAGGATGCAGCAGCAGCAGCACCAGCAGCAGCAAACAATGCAGCATCGGGCAAAGCAACGGCAGCAACAGCAGCAACAACAGGAGCAGCGATAGCACCAGATGAATCGCACAAGCAACAAATGCAGCAACATCAGCAGCAACAGCAGCAACAGCAGCAGCAGCAGCAGCAGCAGCACCTGCTGAATACATGAGGTGCAGCGCGTCTAGACGCTCTCGCCGTGTAGATGTTCTACGTGTCGTTGTTGCTGCTTCGGCTGCTGCTGCTTCTGCTTCAGCTGTTGTTGTTGCTGCTGCTGTTGTTGTTGCTGCTGCTGCTGCTGTTGCTGCTGCTGTTGTTGTTGCTGCTGCTGCAGATGCATCAGTTCTTGCCGGATGGCCCTGCTGCTGCTGTTGCGGCTTCCGCAGTTGCTGCTGTTGCTGCTGCTGTTGCTGCTGCTGCTCCTTCAGCTGCCGTTGCTGCTGTTGCCCTTGCTGTTGCTGCTCTTGTTGCTGCTGCTCCTGCTCCTGCTGCTGCTGCTCCTGATGCTCCTGCTGAGCCCTGACCTTATCTTCTTTGCGTCTCCTCCCGCTGCGTTGTGCGGAGCCGCTGCTGCTGCTGCTGTTGCGTCTTGCTTGCTGCTGCTGCTGCTGCTGCTGCTGCGGCTGGAATGGCCGCCACAGCTGAGTGTACAGCTCCGGCTGCTGCTGATTGAAGCAGTCGAAGTCATGCTGCTGCTGCTGCTCCTGCTGCTGCTGCTGCTGTTGCTGCAGAGCCTCCTTGTTAGAAGCTCCCGCTGGGGCAATGTGCGGCGTTGCTGCTGCTGTTGCTGTTGCTGCTGTTGCTGCTGCCGCTGTTTCTTTTGCTGCGGCTGCTGCAGATGTCGCAGCAGTAGCCCTTGCTGCTGCTGCTGCTGGTGGCTTGCGAATTACTGCTGCTGCTGCTGTTGCTGTTGTTGCTGTTGCTGCTGCTGATGTTGCCGATGTTGCTGCTGGTGCTGCTGGTGCTGCTGCTGCCGCTGCTGGTGCTGCTGCTGCTGGTGCTGCTGCTGCTGTTGCTGCTGCTGCTCTGCCTTGGGGCTCTCTTTCAGGGCGAGGGCCAGTTAGCGACCGATTAATTGCTGCAGCGAAAACCCTAAACCCTAAACCTTAAACCCTAAACCCTAATCCCTAAACCCTAAGCAGCAAATCATTAACCCTAAACCCTGCATCATTCTAAATCACTTAAACCCTAAACCCTAAACCCTAAACCCTAAACTACAGCTGCCTTACCAGCTCTATCCTGAAAGCTTCGGTCCCTGGGGGGAGAACTCGAGCTGCACATCACCGCAACCCTAAACCCTAAACCCTAAACCCTAAACCCTATGCCCTAAAACCCTAAACCCTCAAACCCGAAACCCTAAACCCTAAAACCCTTTACTCGCTAAACCCTAGACGCTAAACCCTAAATTCATGGCCCTAAAACCCTAAACCCTAGACCCTAAACCCTAAACCCTAAACCCTAAACCCTAAACCCTGGGCGTACGGCATGTTGTTGAAAAGAGCCGTTCTCTTTCGGAAGCCAATCCACCTCGAAGTAGCGGGGCTGTTTTGAGCCAATTCGCAGGCTGCAGCGCATGCAACGGGGTTTAGGGTTTAGGGTTTAGGGTTTAGAGGCGCGAAACTTAAGGGTTTAGGGTTTAGGGTTTTGGCTCCTTAGCCCCTCCTGGTGAGGGGCTAAGGAGCCAACACTGGGGCTGAGAGTTTCCGAGAAAAGGCCTACGATTTAGGGTTTAGGGTTTAGGGTTTAGGGTTCAGGAATTAGGGTTTAGGGTTTAGGGTTTAGGGTTTGGGGTGAAAGGTGTGGGTTTAATGCACGGACTGAGTTGCTGTTGGATGGCTGCTTCTTCTGGTGTTGCTGGCTTTGTTGCTGCTGCTGTTGCTGCTGTTCCTGCTGCTGCTGCTGCTGGCGGTGCTGCAGTGTGCAGCAGCAGCTGCTGCAGCTGCTGCTGATTCTGCTGCTGAAATATAGGGTGCTTGAGGCCCCTAGAGAGATAAGACCACGGCGAGAACCTAACGGGGGTCCACTTAGGCTCGGCGCTGCATTCAAACCCTAAACCCTAAACCCTAAACCCTAAACCCGTGTCTCCAAGCCAAGCCCCAGGCATCATCTTCGCATGCTATACTGAAGGGATCAAGGGCTGGAAAGCCCTCAAAACGAGAAAACCCTAAACCCTAAACCCTAAACCCTAAACCCTCAGCAATAGAGCTCCCAAGCCTTTATGTCGGTGTGCTAGGGTTGATGCTGCTGATACAAGGGATTAGGGTTTAGGGTTTAGGGTTTGGGGGGTACGCCGCACTGCTGCGGGGGTTTTAAGGGTTTTCGTCTCTCTCCATTGGATATTGGATCCGGTATCTGTTGCCTCTCGTTCCTGTTGATGCACAAACCCTAAACCCTAAACCCTAAACCCTAAACCCTCATTGATGGGCACTTCTTGAGGCCTGTGATTGTTGTTGGATTAGGGTTTAGGGTTTAGGGTTTATCTGACTGCGATTTCGGGAGCGGCTGAAACGGCAGGCTTAGAGCATATACAACCAAACCTAAGGTTTAGGGTTTAGGGTTTAGGGTTTAGGGTTTAGGGTTTACCTGAGTAGGAAGTGTCTGACGGCGTCGTTGAGTTCGTCTGCCCCCGAACCCTCCCACAAATTTCTGAGTTTTTGTCTGTCACCCACCGCACTAAGACATCTGCGAGGGCTTTCATTTGCTGCTGCTGCTTCTGCTGCTGCTGCTGCTGCTGCTGGTGTTGCTGCTGCTGCTCCTGCTGCTGATGCTGATGCTGCTGCTGCTGATGCGGTGGTTCTTACAGGCCCTGCGGCTGGTCTTTCCGAGGCTTCTGCTGCTGCTGCTGCCCCCGCTGCAGCAGCAGCAACAGCTGGAGCAGCAGCAGCAGCAGGAGTGTTTGCTGCATGTGCGCGCTGCGAAGACGCTCTTTGCGCTGCCGACGCCCCCGCTGCTGCTGCTGCTGCTGCTGCAGCAGCAGCAGCAGCAGCAGCAGCAGCAGCAGCAGGGATTCTCCTCGGGGAAGCAGCAGCTTTCTCTCCTAAGAAAACCTTTACCCTGCTTCTGTCTACAAATCTAACAGTTGTGCGCAGCCTAGCAACGGTGCCGCGCTTATAAAGGCGTCTCTCTAGCTGCAGCAGCTGCTGCTCGCTCTGAGCAGCAGCAGCAAATGCATCAATTGCTGCTGCGTGCTGCTGCATCGCAGCAGCAGCGCGACGGTCAACAGCAGACGTCTCTGCTGCTGACTCCGCAGCAGCAATTGCTGCTTCGAGGGCTTCAACATCAAGGCCCCCTCCAGCAGAAGCAGCACCAGCAGCCGCAGCAGCCGCAGCAGCAGCAGCCGCAGCAGCAGCACCTCCACCACCACCAGTAGCAGCTGTTGCTGCTGCTGCAGCCACAGCTGCTGCTGCTGTTGCTGCTGTTGTTGCTGCTGCTGCATCCGATGAACAGCACAAACAGGGGGGAGGCTCTCTCGCTAAGTATCGCAAGAAAGCAGCACCAACACTGGGTAGCTCGGAAGGAGCTGCTGCTGCTGCTGCAGCTGCTGCTGCAGCAGCAGCAGGACCCGATTGGCTGTAGCCTCCGCCAGGGCCCCTGCTGCCGCTGCTGCTGCTGCGAACCCCTTCAGCTTCTGCTGCGGCTGTTGCTGCTGTTGCTGCAGGGCTTCTAGAGAGTTGAAGGTGATGAACGCTGCCTCCTGCTTCAGTGCCTGCTGCTGCTGCTGCTTCTCCTGCTTCTTGCGGCACCTGCCGAGACGCCTTAAACGTTTCAGCAGCACTACCGCTACCTCTCTCCTTGCAACTGAACAGCAGCAGCAGCAGCAGCAGCAGCAGCAGCAGCAGTTGGTGTTGCAGAAGGTGGGCATTGCCTTCACAAAAGTGACCCGAGCAGCAGCAGCAGCACCAGCAGCAACAGCAGCATCAGCAGCAGCAACACCAGCAGCAGAAGCTGCACCATCAACAGAAGCAACAGCTATCAGCAGAAGTGGCAGCAGCAGCAGCAGCAGCGACAACAACAACAACAACAGCAGCAGCAGCAGCAGCAGCAGCAGCAGCAGCAGCATTTCAAGTGTTGCTCGTACCCCACCCAAAGGAGCTGGGCCCTGGCGAGTTGTCTTCTCTCATAGGCACGCAGCTGCTGCTGCTGCTGCAGCTGCTGCTGCTGCTTCTCTGTTATTAAGAGACTCGTAAATGAATGACTTCTATAAGTAAAGGGTAGCTGCAGCAGCAGCCTCCTGCAGCGCCGCTGCAGCTGTCGCTCTGCTGCAGCTGCTTCCCTTAAAGAACGAGGAGATGATGCAGTGCTCCTGCAAACCACAAACCCTAAACCCTAAACCCTAAACCCTAAACCCTAATTGTGAGACGCTACACGCCAAGCTCTAAACCCTAAACCCTAAACCCTAAATTTTAAACCCTCTCTCTTGCGCTGCACAGGCGAAGGCGAACAGGAGGCGCCAGCGTTCTCTCACTACCTTTAGGATTTAGGGTTTAGGGTTTAGGGTTTAGGGTTTAGGGTTTGCCTGATTCGTTTGATAGCTGCCAGTTGCTGCGCTGCAGCTGTCAGCATTTGCTGCTCGTCTCTGCTGTTGAGGAGTCGCTGCTGCTGCCACTGCTGCAGCAGCAACGCTGTACGATGCAGCACTTGCTGCAGCCTCTTGCGGCGCTGCAGCTCCAGCAGCACCTTCTGCACAAACCACACGCAAGGGTTTAGGGTTTAGGGTTTAGCGTCTAGGGTTTAGGGTTTAGGGTGTAAGGTTTAGGGTTTAGAGTCTAGGGTTTAGGGTTTAGGGTTTAGGGTCTAGGGTCTACTGTTCAGGGTTTAGGGTTTAGAGCTTCCGGTTTAGGGTTTAGGGTTTAGGGTTTAGGGTTTTGCCTTCCACTTGTTTCGGACGAGAGCGCTTCTAAAAGCCTTTTGCAGGAGCAGCACAGCAGCAAACAGACGAGACAAAGATACACCGGGAAGCGGTAGAAGATCTGCTGCTGCTGCTGCAGCAGAAATCTTGTTCTGACCGCAGCGCTGGCAGCAAAACACCGGCACCCCCAGCTGATGCTGCTGCTGCTGCTGCTGCTGCTCCTGCTGCTCCTGTTGCTGCTCCTGTTGCTGTTTAGGGCTGAAGTCAGGGGTTTGAGTCTCCCTTGATGTTGCTGCTGCCTTTGTTTCTGCAGCAGCTGCTGCTGCTACACCTTCTGTTGTTGTTGTTGCTGCTGCTGCTGCTCTTTTGGGCGGCAGCAGCAGCTTCGTCCGCACATACTCCAGAAACTCCCTGCAGGAAAAGCCTTATCTAGGGTTTAGGGTTTAGGGTTTAGGGTTTAGGGTTTAGGGTTTAGGGTTTAGGTGAAGGAGGGCTTTAAAAGGCCCCTTGGCTGTCGCTTCGGCCTGAACGCAGTCTCGAGGGTTTGATGTTGGGTAAAGTATTTAGGGTTTAGGGTTTAGGGCTTATGACTAGGGTTTAGGGTTTAGGGTTTAGAAGAGACCGTCGCTGCTGCATGCCTCTGATCTTGCGCTGCAGGTCTGTTGCTGCTGCAGCAAAGCTGCTGACAGCAGCAGCAGCAGCAGCAGCAACACTACGCTCCCGCCTGAGAGCACAGCGGGTTGCGTAGCCTCTCCAGGCTGCCTGCATACAAACCCTAAACCCTAAACCCTAAACCCTCTTGCTCTAGCAGCCCTTCAAAAGCCTTCTCAAACTCTTGCAATCAAACCCTAAACCCTAGTTCAAGAGCGCTCAGCTACTGCATTGCTGCACAGTGTAATTTAGGGTTTAGGGTTTAGGGTTTAGGGTTTAGGGCTTGCCTGGATTTTCGTGGCTGCTATCTTCGCAAGCCTTCGTCTTTGTGTGCTTGGCGTCAGAGAGACCTCCAGCACTTTCACTGCAACAACCTCAACATTAGGAATGATGCTGCTGCTGCTGCTGCTGCTGCTGTTGCTGCTGCTGCTGCTGCTGTCGTCGTTTTCGTCGTTGCTGCTGCTGCAGATTTCGTTCTGCTCAAAAAGAGCGCAGGAGACCCGCAAGAGGTGTTTAGGAGGGTTTAGGGCGTAGGGTTTAGGGTTTAGGGTTTAGGGTTTAGGGTCTGCGGACTTGAGAAGGATCGGTGGCCCCTGACTTCGTTGTGCAGATGACTTCGTAGGCAATCACCTTGTCATGCACTCCCCTGAACGCCTCTAAACCCTAAACCCTAAACCCTAAACCCTAAACCCTAAACCCTCGGCCTCAGGACTCCGACCGTCAGGTCTTCCCCACCAAGTGTGAAGGTTGAGGAAGCAGCCGCCACTCTTGCATTTAACAAAGAGTGAGGGTTTAGGGTTTAGGGTTTAGGGTTTAGGGTTTAGGGTTTGCAGCCTACGCAGACTCATCCAGGAGCTGCTTCAGCAGCAGCATTGCTCTTTCCTTCTCATGTGTAATCGCTAGCAGCTGCTGCCGCTGCAGCAAACAGGCTTCTTCGTAAACGGATCGGGCTTGGGACACCACCTGCAGCAGCAGCAGCAGCAGCAGCAGCAACAGCAGCAGTAGCAGCAGCAGGTATTGATTAGGGTTTAGGGTTTTATGGTTTAGGGTTTACGGTTTGTTGGTTAGTGCTTAGTGTTTAGGGTTTACGAATTATTGTTTCGGGTTTTAGGGTTTAGGGTTTAGGGTTTAGGGCTTAAGGTTTAGGATTTATGGTTGGTACTGTAGGGTTTAGGGTTTAGGGTTTAGGGTTTAGGGTTTAGCTTGCCTCATGCTGATAAGTGAGGTGGCGGAGTTGTGTGTTTAATTCATCGACCCGGCGTTTGGCCTCCCGCAGACTTTGTGTCTGTTCTCCTTCTGCTGCTGCTGCTGCTGCTGTTTTTGCTGCTGCTGCTGCTGCTTCTGCTGCTGCTGCTGCTGGGTGGCTGCTGCCTCGAGTTGCTGCACGTTGCTGCACACCAGTGAACGGAGTTTCGCCTCCAAGCCGTCCTGAAGAGCCCAACTCTCGCACGAGGGTTTAGGGTTTAGGGATTAGGGTTTAGGGTTTAGGGTTTAGGGTTTAGGGTTTAGGGTTTAGGCGCTGACTTGGGGCCAAAGCAGGGGAGGGGCTGTCTGGCAGTTGGCGGCTGCCGCAGCTGCTGCGGTGGGCAACGAAAGGAATCCTGGCCTTCTTCTTAAGTGGCTGCTGCTGCTGCTGCTGCTGCTGCTGCTCCTGCTGCTGCTGCTTTTGCTGTTGCTGCGCATCGTGCAGCAGCTGCTTCTGAAAGTACTCGGGGAGAACTCTGTGATGCTCCTGCTGCAGCTGCTGCTGGTCCTGCTGCTGCTGGTGCTGCTGCTGCTGAGCCTCTGCAGCAGAAGCAGGAGCACTGGGTTTCTGTTTGCTGGGGGTAGCAGGCTGACTGTCGGGGGCCCCGAGGCCGCGATTGTGCTGCTGCTGCAGCAGCAACTGCTGCTGCTCTTGCTGTTGCTGGTGCTGCTGCTTCCCTTGCATGTGGCTGCAACATCCTGCTGCTGCTGCTGCTGCTGCTGCTGCTTCTGCTGCTGCTTGTTTCGACGCAATAGTGGAGAAGGTCACCTCGAGGCCCCTGCCGGGATCGATCGATCCCACTGGCCCCACGGCCTCCCGGGGCCCTGACCCCGCAGGTGGGGCCTTCATTTTGTTGTTACTAATTATAAAACCCTAAACCCTAAACCCTAAACCCTAGCGAACGCCAGAAGGCCAAACCCTAAACCCTCGCCGTCGCCGCCTTGCACTGGAGGCCGCAGCCCCGGCTTGAGGGTTTTTGTTTGAAGAGAGGTTTAGGGTTTAGAGATATTAATAAGGGTTTGTTGCAAATATATAATTTAGATAAATTAATTATTTTGAATAAAAGAATAAGGGAGAAGCAAAAGACAAAAAGATTGAGGTGTATATACACCACGTGCTCGCGGTCGAGCTGCGGTGTATACAGAAAAATTATTTTTAATGAATGAAATAAATGTAAATTTAAATGCAAATTTAAATATTAAATAATAATTAATTCAGCATTTAAATTAATAAATATTTTTCTAACGACAGCAGTAAATCGTGGTTTAGGGTTTGAGGCCTCCTCCGGTCTCGGGCTAACCCAGCCTTTGTCTCTGTTGGTGGGGTCTAGGGTTTAGGGTTTAGGGTTTAGGGTTTAGAGTTTGGGTTCTGGAGCTAAGAGGGTTCTGAGAGATAACGGCAAAGAGTTTTTGATTTAGGGTTTAGGGTTTAGAGGGTTTTGCTTGCTTATGGCTTAGGGTTTGGAGACCAGGGTTTAGAGGTAAGAGAGGTTTGAGGGTTTAGGGTTTAGGGTTTAATATCTAGGGTTTAGACCCAACTCTGCCCAGGATGAGGATTTGGGGCTTCGTGAATGTGAATAAGAGTTTGAGGTATTTCATTCAGAAGAGGGGTTTGGCTTCGCTGCTTATTTCTTAGGGTTTAGGGTTTAGGGTTTAGGGTTTATGGCTAAGGAGCAGCCGCCGGTGAAATCTGCATTTTGCGGGGCTGACAATACCCAGGCCCTAAACCATACGCCCTACACCCTAAACCCTAAACGCTATATCCTAAACCCTAAACCCTAAACCCTAAACCCTAGGGGTTTCTCGGATAATGAGATTCAGAGTCGAGGGTTTAAGGGTTTGCAGCGCTACACCCATCAAATATAAACCCTTCAAGCAATTAAAGGAGGTATAATAAGTGCTGCTTCCTTATTAGGGTTTAGGGTTTAGGGTTTAGGGTTTAGAGACCGAGTCAGCATCCGGGTTCAATCCAAGGTGCCCGAGAGGAATAACACTAAAACCCTAAACCCTAAACAAACCCTAAACCCTAAATAACCCCTAAGCCTTTAATAAGCGCTTAACAAGACAGGAGGGACCATAAGCCCTAAAAAAACCTAAACCCTAAACCCTAAACCCTAAACGCAAGTGGAAAGCGGCATATTGCTGCATCTGAAGAGAATTCGCAGCAATGATGGATGTCTTTGAAAGCTATAAGGTCTAGGGTTTAGGGTTTAGGGTTTAGAGTTTTACGGTTTAGGGTTTACGATGGCCCCTATAATGTGAGGCCTAAGAAGAGAAACCTGAAACCCTAAACCCTAAAACCCTAAACCCTAAACCCTAAACCCTAAAATAAACGTAGACCTTACTAAAAAGCCCTAAACCCTCGTTCCAAACCCTAAACCCTTCCTCCTAGATAACCCTACACCCTTGACAAAGCCTAAACCCTAAACCCTAAACCCTAAGCCCTAAACCTCAAACCCTATACTCTCGTCTAGTAATAAGCCCTCAAATCCACTTGTATAAACATCAAAGATATTAATTTGTTCATAGGAGGGCTAAAAAGAGAAACGGGCTGGGGCAGAAACAAACTACCCGTAAACCCTAAACCCTAAACCCTAAACCCTAGACACTAAACCCTAACTGGAAGGCCTAAGCAACCCTAGGTTGGGGATAGGCCCTAAACCCTAAACCCTAAGCACTAAACCCTAAACAATGAATTGCAAACCCCAGTTATCTAAACACCCTGTAGAACTGCTACTGCTACTAGCCAAACCCTAAACCCTAAACCCTAAACCCTAAACCCTTGAGTGCCTCGAGGCGGGAGCCACCAGCGTTTTAAAAGGTTTAATTATTTATTTTATTTTATTTATTTATTTTATTTTTAATTATAAATAAAGCAGATAAATAGAAGAAAAACTGCTGTCTTCAGGGTTAGCCGACGCGCAGCCGCAAAGACCTTTCTCTCCCCACGAGGGTTTAGGGTTTAGGGTTTAGGGTTTATGGCTAGGGGCTTTACCTAGATGAAACCCTCCAGTGATTCGGAAGCTTAGGTTTATAGACTTTAATTTAGGGTTTGCGGCTTAGGGTTTAGGGTTTAGGGCCGCGCATCGACCCCCCAGCTCCAGCAGCCCCATATAGCCCTAGTGCTTAGGGTTTAGGGTTTAGGGTTTAGGGTTTAGGGTTTTTAGAAGGTTGAGTGTGGCGCAGTTGGGTGCCTCTCTAGTGCTATAGCAGCACATACACTCGGCAGACAACTAGAAATAAGCAGCCGCAGCAGCAGCAGCAGCAGCAACACGAGCAGCAGCAGCCGCAGCAACAACAACAACGAAAGCAGGAACAGCCGGAGCAGCAGCAACAGCAACTGCAGCAGCAACAGCCGTGGCAGCAGCAACAACAACTGCAGCAGGAATAGTAACTGCGGAGGCAGCAGCAACTGCAGCAGCAGCAGCAGCAGCAGCAGCAGCAACTGCTGCAGCAGCAGCAGCAACTGCTGCAGCAGCAGCAGAAGGATGGTCCTTGCTGGCTTCATCTGCAGCAAGTCAAAGTTCTTCTCGCGGCGCCTGGTTTCTCTACTCGTTTGCTGCTGCTGCTGCTGCTGCTGCTGCACCTCCACAGCCACAGCCTCCCGCCTCTCCCTTCTGCCAGCAGCAGCAGCTGCAGCAGAGACAGCAGCAGTTAGTGCAGCAGCAAAAGCACCAGCAGCACGACCTGGATGGGGTTTTCTTGCTGCGGAAGGAGCGCATAGAAGATCCCCAGCAGCAGCAACAGCAACAGCAACTGCAGCAGCAGCAGCAGCAGCAGCAACAGCTTTGACAGCAGCGTCTTCTCTTCGGTCTCCACCGGCATTTTTGCTGCGAGGTTTAAATTCAGGGGTCTCGACCCCCCGAAGTCTGCTGCTGCTGCAGCAGCAACAGGTGCAGCAGCAGCAGCAGCAGCAACAGGTGCTGCATGCAAAGTGCTGCTTCGATTTAACTCTACCCGAAGACACCAGGAAACGGCGCAGCAGGAAGGGAGCCGCACGAAATCCGCTGAAGAGACTCCTAAAAATACCCAGAGGGGGTTGGAGACCCAGCAGCAGCAGCAGCAGCAGCAGCAGCAGCAAAGCCAGCGGCAGCAACAGGAGCAAGAGCAGCAGCAGCAGCAGCAGCAGCAACAGCAACAGCAGCAGCACGACGGCTCTCAATGCTCTAACACACCAAACTGAAGGCGTTGGTGAGGCAGCGGACCAAACAGCAGCAGCAGCAACAGCAGCAACAGCAGCAACAGCAGCAACACCAGCAGCAGCAGCAGCAGCAGCAGCAGCAGCAGCAAAAATGGAGAATTGGTCGTACGTTGACATTGGGGCGAACCTCTGCGACCCGATGTTTGAAGGAAAGTACTTCGACAAACAAAAACACCCCCCAGATATGCAAATGTAAACCCTAAACCCTAAACCCTAAACCCTGTATATATATATATATATATATATATATATATTATATACCCCAAACCCTAAACCCTGATGGAGGTCTCTTGAGAAAACTTTTTTGTGTGCTGTTTGCGTTCTTGGGCTCTCTGCGCGGCTTGGAAAGAGGGTTTAGGGTTTAGGGTTTAGGGGTTGAAGTTTAGGGTTTAGGGTTTAGGGTTTAGGGTTTGTTGCGTGTAGGGTTTTGGAGAGGGCTGCTGCAGCGAAAGTAGAAAAATTAATTCTAACTACGGGCGCATTCAATGAATTTAAGACAAACCTCCGCATTGCTGAGGCTTACGGTACTCTAAACCCTAAACCCTAAACCCTTAGCCGGCCCAGTCCACTGCCTAAACCCGAAACCCTAGGAAACGAACGCGCAGCTGACTGAGGCCTCAAATGCACAAACCCTAAACCCTAATACGGAAATATACCACACAAACAAACAAACTCGCGGGTGTAATACACCCACACAAAACCCTAAACCCTAAACCCTAAGCCACAAACCCTAGGCACTGCATCGACCTTGCGAATCCCTCAGCGCTTCTCCCCCCATGCCGAAGCAATTGATTAGGGTTTAGGGTTTAGGGTTTAGGGTTTGTGTGCAGACCCAGAGTGTAAACGCCTCTTCCTTACTTTGGGCGTCCACCCAACACGCTGCAATGAATTTGCTGCTGCTCCTGCTGCTGCAGCGAGCAGCAGCAGCAGCAGCAGCAGCAAAGATGAGTTTAATTCATTTGCAGCAAAAGTAGAGGGGGGCGGCCTACGGCTGGGGGATTACCCTGCTGTGTACGTACAGCACCTGTTCGAGCTGTACATGCTGCAGCAGCAGCAGCAGCAACAGCAGCAGCAGCAGCAGCAGCAGCGGCGGCGCGTTGTTGCAGTGGGAGAGATAGGGTTAGATTATGATCGACTCAGCTTCTGTGATGCAGACACCCAAAAAAAGTACGCAAACCCTAAACCCTAAACCCTCGTGATGCACGTAAGAAGCTCTCCTGTGTCGGCGTCGAAGGGTTAGGGTTTAGGGTTTAGGGTTTAGGGTTTGGGGTTGCTGTGGGGTGTGTTTAGGTGTTTTGAATTTCAATTGGCTTTAGGCCACGTGCTGCAGCTGCCTTTGTTCCTGCACATGCGGAACGCAGCAGCAGACTTTCTTGGTAAGCCCTAAACCCTAAACCCTAAACCCTAAACCCTTGTGTATAATGCAGGCAGCTCGAGGCCCTTTGGTTAGTTAGCTCGAGTAGTTTGCGAGGGTTTGCTTTTCGAGAGTCCACTTGGCAGGTCGAATGTTGAGGGTTTAGGGTTTAGGGTTTAGGGTGTACGGGGGTTTAGGGTTTAGGGTTTAGGGTTTAGGGTTTGCAGAAATCCTGCAACGCCGAGAAGGATTATGGAAGGGGAGAGGCGCAGTTGTGCATTCGTTTACGGGCTCTGCTGAAGAGGCTAAGCAGCTCTTGGACGCGGGGCTGTACATCGGTACAAACCCTAAACCCTAAACCCTAATCCTAAACCCTCCTACTCGCTTCCGCGTCGCTGTATCTATCTATTAGCAACAATTGTGGGGTTTTATGCTTGAGATTTACGGCCTCAGGTTTGGGATATGGGGTGTGCTAGGGCTTAGGGTCTGAGGTATAGGAAGATTTAGGGTTTAGGGTTTAGGGTTTAGGGTTTGGTTCAGGCATCAATGGCTGTTCACTGAAAACAAAAGAAAACCTCGAGGTCGTTCGCCAGTTACCCCTCTCCCGCATCCTATTGGAAACCGGTGCATAAACCCTAAACCCTAAACCCTAAACCCTAACCTCATAAACCCTAAACCCTAATGCCTCAACACGTTGTGCGCAAAGCCCCTGACGCACAGCTTCTAAATTTTGCCCAGGGCTGTGGGTTTCAGCGTGCAGACTTTAGGATTTAGGGTCTAGGGTTTTAGGGTTTAGGGTTTAGGGTTTAGGGTTTGGATGCCGCAGATGCTCCCTGGTGTGGAATGAGGCCAACGCATGCTGGTTTCGCCCTTTTGAATCAAGAGCAGGTATGGTTTTAGGGTTGGGGGTTTAGCGGTTAAAGCTAGGGTTTAGGGTTTAGGGTTTAGGATTTAGGGTTCAGGGTTTAGGGTTTAGGGTTTGTGCCTCAGAAGTCCGCTCTAGATGGTGTTAAGCCCGAGAAATGGGCGAGCAGCAGCCAAGTTAAGGGACGCAACGAACCTTGCAATATACGGTAGGCTAGGGTTTAGGGTTTAGGGTTTAGGGTTTAGGGTTTATATTTGAGGGTTTAGGGTTTGTGGTTGAGGGTTTAGGGTTTATGGTTTATGGTTTAGGGTTTAGGATTTAGGGTTTGGGTTTTACGTGTTTTTAGGGTTTAGCGCCTGCAGATGAGAGCGTGGGATGTGAGGGTTGAGTGCAGGTTTTATATGCAGTTAGGGTTTAGGGTTTAGGGTTTAGGGTTTAGGGTTTAGGGCTTGTACGCAGGGTTGTTGGGGAAGTTGTGCGTCAGCTGGTGGCTCCGGAGCTCTCAGAGAAGGATTTCTGTTCACAGTAAACCCTAAACCCTAAACCCTTTCTTCAGCATTCTGTTGTGCAAATAAACCCTAACCCTGTGTTGTTGCGTGCCTAGTGTCGCGATGGTCGTTTCAGACTAAGGGTTTAGGGTTTAGGGTTTAGGGTTTCATGGGTTTGTATTCTGCAGGATATACAAGAACACCTTGTCTGTCTTTCCACTCCTCGAAGAGGAGCATTGACCAAGCAGAACCCTAAAGAAAACAAAACCCTAAACCCTAAACCCTAGTTGGCTAGGGTTGTATGTAGCTTGCTTCTAAGCCGCGTGAGCCGTTCGTATAGCTGAATCACAGCCCTAGGGTTTAAGGGTGTAGGGTTTAGGGTGTAGGGTGCTTTGTAGACGCTGTAGACCCCGAGCTGCAACGAGACACTTCAAGAGCGTCTGCAGTGTTTGCAGCATGTGGCTGCATTTTTAAATAAAGGGTTTCAAGGGGTTTATAACCCTAAACCCTAAACCCTAAATAGCCGACTTTGTAAGACAGCCTCCGTCCATTGCTTGCATACGATATATTACATATGTATATACATATACATAATACATATACATATACATATACATATACATATACATATACATATACATATACATATACATATACATATATATATATATATATTGGGCAGTCTCCGTGAGCCTACCCCCTCTTTTGGACTTAAAATGAATTTATTAACTCAAATATACCGAAAAGATGTACAAAGAAGTCAGGGAAAGAGGAGAAAGACAAAAAGACAGAGGCGGTGCGTGGCCTGAGCAAGGAGAAGAACGGCAGGAAAAGGGGGTTATTAGCTTTTTTGTACTTGTCTAAACCTTTAAAGTAAATGCAAATACAAAATAAACGCATTAAATAACTCAAATTTCCTTCTTTTCGTTCAATACACCAGCAGAGAAAGACAAACAGACAAGGCAGCTACAGCTCCCTGCCCCCGTACCTCTACTGCTACAACCCAGCTTCAGTGTCTGCAAGAAAAATGAAGAAAGAGGGTTTTTAAAGACATTTTTTGGATAATTATTGAATAAAAATAATTAATAAATGCATGAAAATACACTATTTGTAATTTTAAAGGCCTGCTTCCTCTCACGTTTCGGTATAGCGGAAGCCTTGCGCCCGCAGCGACGGGTAGAACAGAGGGGCGGTATGCCGGCTTTTTGTTGAATTTATTATTTTATTCACAATTTAAAAAGTAAATATTAGTGAAATTAACAAATTAGTTTTATTTCTTTGCATAAAGAGCCTTAATTTACGCCGTAGATGCTGAAGGAAACCTTAGGGGGGTCTCGAGATTATATATGGCTGGACCATTGCAAGTGCCGGTTGTTCTGCGAAAGCGTCTTCTTCTAGTGGAAAGCGGCAATAAAAGGTATTTTTTTATCATTAATATTAATATTTAGACTTTAATTTACATTTTCATTCATACGAATTCTTCTTTCCTCTCAATTTATACCCATATCGCCCGGGGTCTCGTCTCAGCGGTCATTCACGGTTTCAATACCCAGCACTGAATCTGCATGCATCTCAATCTTAAAATTTCTTTGCTTTTTTCTCTCTTCGTTTGTCTCTCTCACAGCTTCTCCCTTCTTTCACTCCTTCTGCGCTTCTCCAGCCTTGTGTGCGCGAGCTTCCCATACACCCGAGTTGAAGCAACCACTCTAAAGGGCAGCTTCTAGCAATCAAGCGAGAAGAGAGGCATCATATTTAAGAAGGGAAAGCAGTGATATGAAAGGAGGCCCATGTGGGGGGCGCAGGGAGGCCCCCCTGTTTATTAGTTTCGTCCTTTATAGAGCAGTAGCAGCAGTAGCAGCAGCAGCAGCCCAAGCAGCAGCAGCAGCAGCAGCAGTAGCAGCAGCAGCAGCAGCAGCAGCCCAAGCAGCAGCAGCAGCAGCAGCCCAAGCAGCAGCAGCAGCAGCAGCTGAACCCAGCACCGCTGGTTCAGAGTTACAACAAAAGTTTTTTTTTTCGGAAGGGAGGCACGAGGCCGAGGGATTTGGCACTCCTCTTTTTTTGCCCGTTTCTTCTTTTTCTTCTTTTTCTTTTTCTTTATATTTTTCTTCTTCTTCTGCAGTATATCTTCTCCGTCTTTTGTCTTTTTTGTTGTTTTCATCGCCGCAATGGCTTCGCACATGCGGGGGTCTTCACCCTTTCCGATGGCTGTCTGTGCGCTGCTATGTCCGTTAGAAGCTGCAGATGAGGCTGCATACAGCAGCAGCAGGCGCAGCAGCAGCAGCAGCGTGAGCGAAGCAGATTTGCTGCTTGAAATGGCAATTATAGAGGAAGGAGGAGGAAACGAAGACAGCGAAAAAGAAGCGTGGAGAGGTCGCCGGCTAACTGCAGCAGACTTTATTGGTGAGCACAGCGTTATTGCTGTTCGCCGAACTTTGTACAAATTCAAAGCGCAGCAGAGCAGCAACTTGTTTGAGCGTATAGAAACAGCAGGAGACAGCCTCTTCATGCCTTGCTTCAGCAGCAGCAGCAGCAGCAGCAGCAGCAGAGGAGAACAACAGCCTTATGAACAAGGCAGTAAGGGCTCCTATACATTCGGCTTGCTGCAGCCAGTTACTACCGACGCGCTGCTGCTGGGTGCAGCAGCGCTGCAGCCCTTAGAGGATTTCTTAGTGCTGCCGAAGCGTCCATCTGCTGCGCTGCAGCTGCTAACGGATTTGCTGCAGCTGCAGTGGGAAGAAGAGACCCAAAACGCCGCAGCAGCAGCAATAGCAGCAGCAGAAGCAGCAGAATCAGCAGCAGCAGCAGCAACGCTGAACACCCAACACAGCAGCGAAATGTACGAAGATTTCAAACCCACATATGCAGCAGACAACGCAGACGACCTGCAGCAGATGCAGCAGCAGCAGCAACTGCTGTTGCTATCTGGCGAACTGGATGCAGCAAATGCATGCACCGATGCTGACTTGGAGGGCAGCATCAGCGGAGAAGCAGCAGCAGCAGCAGAAGTAGAGCCAGTTGCCGCGGAAGAGTTGGGGTGTACGATGACAGCTGAAGAGGCCGAGGCAGCAGCAGCAGCAGCTGCTGCAGCTGCTGCTGCTGCTGCAGCTGCAGCAGCAGAATTGGAGGCTTCGTTAGCTGCAAAGCGAAAGCAGTTAGGCACAGCGTTGAGGGCTTATGCACAGCAGCAGCGGCGGCTCCGTTGGGGTGTACGTACACCTCTTGCGCAGCAGCATGCGCTGGTGCTGCGCCCTGCAGCAGCGGCACGTGCTGCTGTTGCCGTTCCTGCTGCTGTTGCTCCTGCTCCTGCTGCGCTGCTGCAGGGGCGTCTTCTGCATTTGGTAGAGGCTGTAGTGGGGTCGCTGGCTAACAGCAGCACGCAGCAGCAGAGCAGCAGCCTCGCAGCTGCTGCTGTTGCTGCAGCACTGCAGCAGCACAGCTACCTCGTTTCCAGCATTGGGGCTTTGGCTGCTGCATGCGCAGACTTGGAGTTGTGGCTCACCCGAAGCAAATCAGCAGCAGCAGCAGCAGCAGCAGCAGCAGCAACAGCAACAGCAGCAGCAGCAGCAGCACCTGCTGCTGCTGCTGCTCCTTACCCCCCTATTCAAGTCATGTGTTTAGCCATAGAAGATGCACCTCCCAGCAGCAGCACTCCTCCCCTGCCTCCGCTCGATCGCAGCAGCAGCAGCAGCAGCAGCAGCAGCAGCAGCAGACCGAAGAAGATCGAGGGCAAGCCAGCAAAGGCGGCGAAGAAAACCAAAGAGAGCATTAGCACCACCAGCAAGAGCAGCAAGAGCAGCAGCAGCAGCAGCAGTAGCAGCTTGGGGCTTCGGAGTGCAGCAAAAAAGAAAGACAAAGCAAAAGCCTCCTTACCTTCAGCTAAAAGCAGAGCGAAGGAGCAAACAAATACACAAAAACCAAATAAACAGGCGGCGAGCAGCAAAGACAGCAGAAAGGCGGAGCCTAAAAAGTTTGCAGCAGCTTCATTAAAAAAATCGCAGAAAATATCTACACCTAACACACGCAGCATACAGAGAAAGACGCCTCAGAAGGTATCAGCAGCACTAGCAGCACTAGAAATAGAAGCAGCAGCAGGAGAAGCAGCAACAACTGCAGCTGCAACAGCAGTTAAGGAGTCTGCAGCAGCAGCAGCGGCAGCAACAGCAGCCGCAGCAGAAGCAGCAGAAGCAGCAGCAGCAACAGCAACTGCAGCAGGGGAAGCAGCAGCTGAGATTATTCGTGACCGGTCTCCTTCTCTTTCTGTTGAAGGAAAAGAAGAAGGCGTTCTTAGAGAAAGCGGCAGCAGCCTGAGGTGTATAGACACCCCAACCCTCACTGCTGCACCACCGCAAGCAGCAACGAGCCCCACTGATATTGGAGAAGAAGGCGAGTGCTGTGGACCTGAAATGTTTGCTGCTGCTGCTGCTTTAGCTGCAGCAGCAGCAGCAGCTGGTGCTGCTGATGCTTATGCTGATGGTCCTGCTGCTGCAGCAGCAAGGGAGAAGGCAGAAGCAGAAGATGACGCATGCAGTCGAGGTGTACGTACACCCGAATCAATAAGCTCTATACTTCGTGCAGATTGTTTGTTTACCAATCAGAAAGAAACAGCAGCAACGAAGCAGATGGCTAGTGAAGCAAATATACAGACGCCCTACAGCCTCCCTTCTGCTCCGCATCAAATCAGCAGCAGCAGCAGCAGGAGCAGTAGCCTTATCGGCAGCAGCAGCACAAACAGCAGCACCACCAGTCTCATCAACAGCAGCAGCAGCAACAGCAGCAAGAGCAGCAGCAGCATCTGCTCTATGTTTGATGCGCTTGCTTCTCTGCCTTCTAAAGAATTTCGTCGCGCAGGAAGTTCTGGGTTGGGGGATTTGCTGCGGAGAGACTCAGGCAAGAGACAGGGGGCAGCAGCAGCAGCAACAGCAGCAGCAGCAGGTGCTGTTGCTGCTGCACCTGCTGCTCCGTCTCACGCAATCAACAGCAGCAAAAAGCCCCTAAGGGGACAGCCAGAGCGTCTCACCCGCAACAGGATGAAACAAACACTCAGCAGCAGCAGCAGCAGCAGCAGTGCCGGCCGTATGGGCGCAGTGCTGACGGGCCGCCGAGGCCGCGTAGCTTCCTGAGTAGCTGTTGCTGTTTGAGTTGAAGGCGACAGAAAACTTTGTGGGGTGTACAGGTGTATGTACACCTCAGGGTGTATGTACACCGCCTCATATGCGTTGTTATATACTAGACTCTCCTTTTCTTCAGGTTGGTGCAAATGCTTCGTTTATTTTTGTTTATGTCTGCATATATTATATTTGATTATATTTCTATTTCGTATATTTATGCATGCATTGGGCTGCTGTGTTGAGGGGTTGAGGCGTATGCGCAGCTAAGGGCTTGGGGTGTACGCACAGCTAGAAGAGCGAGATATACGTACATATTTAAAAGGTTTGAGGTGTATATACAGTAGAGGGTTTGAGGTGTATGTACAGTAGAGGGCTTGAAATGTATGTACAGCAGAGGGTTTGAGGTGTATGTACAGCAGAGCGTTTGAGGTGTATGTACAGCGCATGATAATCCAAAACAACTAAAGCAAAAGATAGTTGGGTAGAAAGAAGCAAAATAACAATAAACCCACGACAAGTTTAGCTCGGGGCCCCATGCTGCTGCTGCTGCTGCTGCCGCTGCTGCTGCTGCTGCTGCTTCTGTTGGTGCTGCTGAAGCATTTGCAAGATAATAAACGCAGCTTTTTCTTGCTGCAGCTGCTGGAAATACACCGCAGCTTCAGCCTCAGCTTAACCCATCCGCAGCAACTCCCAAGTATGCAAATACAAACAACACACCTCCTAACCGCACACACGAACAAACACACAGACACAACACGCAATATATACATGCATTCAAGTAGTTCGCCGTTGATTAGCTGTACATACACCGCAGGGCTTGCGGAAGGCGTAGACTTGCAGCCGGTCGCCCCACGGCACAGCTCGGCACCCAGCGGGGTGTACATACACCTCGAAGAGTGCATGCAAACGTGCATGCATGCATGCGTCGCTTCGCTGCAGTTGTGGGGTCATTATTGCAGCCGCGCAGCAACTCCAACAATCCTGAAGTAGCAGCGAGACGATGCCGCTGCTGCTGCTGGTGCTGCTGGTGTAACTGCTGTTGCTGTTGCTGCTGCTGATCTGCTGCTTCGCTGTTGAGGGGGGGGTGAATGTATTTGCATGCATCTGCATGCAGATGCTGCGGCAGTATGTTGTCTTAGGGCTTTAAACAGACAGATAATTAAGAGCCCTTGTCTAATTCACCTCCTCTAAGCCAATTAAAACTAAAATATTTTTAATTATTCTTCGAGTGCAGCTGGCAGCTGGATACACTCCGTACCAGCCTGATAGAGCGTATATATACGATATATAATATATATAATATAAATATATATAAATATATATAAAAATATATATACGTACACATATTATATATTACCATAGTATATATGTATATATTTACAATATATATAATATATATATCTTTCTAATACATATATTATATATGCTTATTGTATATATATGTATATATGTCGTAGGTATTAGATATATTATACATAATATATATACGATATTCTATATATAATCTAAACAATATATTATATATACAATATATATACCATATATTGTATAGTATATATACAGCATATTATATATATTAGACTACATATTATATATACATAATATATTATATATATATTATATATAATCAATATTATACATAATATATATAATATAACCATTTCATATTACATATACTATATATTATATATATTATATATATATTTTATATATCATATATAATATATATAATTTATAGATTGAGTAGGGGCTGCTAGCTGTTGTTTATTTTCTGTGGAGATAGTCTCCACTAAGCAGCAAAACAACAATAATAGAAAGCATATAATAATATATTATTATATTAATATACTAATATATATTAATATATTCTAATATAATAATAATAATAATATAATAATATAACAATATACATAATAATAACAGTAAAGGAAAAGAGAAGAGACGTCGGAGTGGTTGTGTTCACCACTCCTATACAGCTCTTCATCTCCTAGCTCTCTCTCTGCATTTGTTTATAAATAAATAAATTAATTAATTAAATAGTTAAATAATATATTTATTCATTTTTCATGTAGTTTCTTTGGCCCCCTCTTATACCCCCTCCTCCTCCCCTACCCCTCCCCCATCCTCCGCCTGCTGCTCCTGTTGCTGCTGCTGCTCCTGTTGCTGCTGCTGTTCCTGCTGCTGCTGCTGCTGCTACATTGCCTCCTCGCATTCTCCGTTTCATTGTGGGGTCGGTCCACTGGCCCTCGCCTTCGTCTCCCGCCGCCTCCTCTTGACCCTGGGATCCGATCCCGATCCCCATCCCACCCCGCCCCACACCTCGACCTCCTCCTGCTGAACGACCCCCACGGGCGCCGTTCCCACGAGGCCGTACGAAGTCAACGCGCAGCTGCAAACAAACCACAAACCCTAAACCCTATACCCTATACCGTAAACCCTAAACCCTAAATCAATAGAACAACCACAACGGATACCCAAACAAACAAAACAAAAAAAAACAAATAAAACAAACAAAACAAACAACAAAACAAACAAACACAGCAAGTCAGCACCAAAGTGCAGCAGCAACTCCCAGCCTCTGTCCCTCTCCCTTTATACCCCAATTCATTTTAGCTTGAACATTTTCCTTCTACATAAAAATATATATGCATATAAACATATAAATATATATTAGATAATATGCATCCATACATGAAATGCACTGTCATCATAATATATATATATATATATATATATATATATATATATATATATATATATATATATGATACAACATGCATATATATATATATACTACACTGAAACATAATTATATATTATATGATTGAATAATAAGATATTTATCCTATAACAAAAGCAGCATTTGCTTGAACTATTACGCTCATAATTGTATTTCCTGTGTGCGTCTGAATAGAAGTATTTGTTGTTACAGACAAAAACAAAGAAGGTGAAGGTGATAAGGTGCGGGTAGTAAGAAGATGAGTAATAGAAAAAGAAGAGAGACATACAGTTCTGCCGCCAACATTAAGGCCGTGATCAATAAGATATGAAGCACTTTGAGCAGAATCAACTTCAAACAAAACCCCGAAAGAACGCCCGTTGGGCCTTCGGGTGTCTGTACACCTCCCCCTATTGAAATTCTTTAGCGCCTCAGCTACGCAATTCTTAAAATCTTCCCCTGTCATAGAACCAGGAATCTCTCCCAACACTATCAATCGCCGCTGCTGCTGCTGCTGTTGCTGCTGCTGATTGCTGCTGCTGCTGCTGCTGCTGCTGCTTCCTTGCTCAACTTGAGGCACGCGCCCATTCGGCTTTTGTGCTGTCTCCACCGAAGAAGGTGCGGGGACAGCGAAGCCCCTCTGCAGCAAACATAAGGAGCAGCAGAAAATCCAGTAAAACTAAACAAATAAAACAAGCAGCAAGGTAAGCAGCAGCAGCAACAGCAGCAGCACCAGCAACAACAGCAGCAGCAGCAGCAATTGCTGCTGGCAGACACACCTGTGCCACTGGGCGGACGTTCTGCAGCACTTTGTACGCAAAGCTCTGCGGGTCATAGTTGTGCTGCTGCTGCTTGGTCTTCTGCTGCTGCTGCTGCTGCTGCTGCTGTCGTTGCTGCTCGGCAGCAGAAGGAACCTTCTGTGGGGCCTGTCCGGGCTTAGGCCAGTCTGCAAAAACACACAAAACCCTAAACCCTAAACCCTAAACCCTAAACCCCGAAGCTCATGAACCAAACAACACCCAGAAGAAAATGAGGGTTTAGGGTTTGCAGCAGCAGCAAGCGAACGATTGCTGCAGCTGCTGAGTAATGCCCACAGTTATTTCCTTCACTCAATAGAAAATTGTTTATCTTTATAATTAGTGTTGCTGCAAGCAGCTGCATGCAGCAATAATTAAATAAAGGGCTGCATAATATATATATATATATATTTATTTATTTAATTTATTTTTATGTGTATATACGGCCCTTAAGAAGACTCAGCAGCAAACTGCTACCCTCAGACGCGAGAGAGAAGAGACTCGAATGCGTAGAAACAAAAAATAAATTATATACAAGATTATAAATTATTAATTAATGCATGCATTATAAATAATATATATATATTTTTCTATTATGCTTACGAGGGGACTCCTCTTGCCTATCCACTTCTTCCTGTCGCTGCCACTTGCTGCTGCTGCGGCTCTTTTGTGCTGCTTTGGGCTGCTGCTGCTGCTGCTGCTGGGTTTGCTGCTGCGCTCCTTGGGTATCTGCGCCTCCATGCCTGCTCCCCTCTGCTGCTCCCTCTGACCCTACAGGTTGCTGCTGCTGCTGCTGTTCAGCTGCTGCTGCTGCTGCTGGCTCCTCCTCAGGGGCACCTGCACTGGCAGCAGCTGCTCTTCCAGCCTCACCCGCCGCCTCAGGCTGCTGTTGCTGTTGCTGCTGCTGCTGCTGTCGCTGCTGCTGCATTTGGTGCTCTAAGTGCTGCTCTTCCTGTCGTTTCCTCTCATGTTCGGCGTGCTGTTGCGGCTGCTGCTGCTGTTGCTGCTGCTGCTGCCGGCGGTCTGCTTTGTTTTGCTGCTGCTGCTGCTGCACCTCTGCCTGTTGCTCCTTCTTCACCTCTGCAGCAGCAGCAGCTTTTTCTGCTGCTTCTGATGCGACCGCATCGAGGTAAACAAACATCTCCGTATGCACATACCAGCCCTAAAGCAAACAAAACAAACAAAACAAAGCTTAAGTGTACATACACCCCAATAATCAGCAAAAAAACAGCCTTCAATTACTATGAGTTGTAAGTTTATTTTTATGCCAGTGGTTTAGGGTTTTCGTGAGGCATTGCTACTTGTACTACTAGGGATTAGGGTTTAGGGTTTAGGGTTTAGGGTTCGTACAGCTCTTGGGGGCTTCATCTTGGCGAGCAAGACGGTCTGAGCAAATTCTCTTGCTTCTGAATCGGGTGTATGCTTGAGGCAGCCAGTAACGAGGACAAGGATGCCCCCGTTCTCTGCTTCTTCTGCTTCAATATCTCGTATTAAACATGTAGGGCGCTGCAGCTGCAGCTGCTCAAATGCAGCAACTATTGCAGACAAACCAGCTGCACGTACACTCCAACGCTCTGTCTCTGCAGAGTTACGATCGCTTACTCTTCGAAGCTGCAAAAAAACAAATAAACAATACATATATATATATATATTTGCATATATATATATATGCATATAGGTAGATACAGATATGCATTTATATTCTTTTATGCATTTGTTCAATACTCACAGATCGCCCTATTTATCAATTATTTAATAGCTATTTTCATAAACAATCAACATAAAAACAGACAAACAAACGAACAAATAAATAAACAAACATAAAAAGAAACCAGCATTACGTCTACTGCCTGCTGCATCAATGGCTTGCTGTACATACACCCGAAGCTGTGCATACACCTCAAACTTCTAAAACAACCAAACTGCAGAACCATCTCTATGCAAGGCAAAGCAAACACTCCACATGCGCATACAGCACGAAAACCTGTATCTTGCTGCTAGTGCTGCAGCTGCTAATGCTAGTGCTGCTGCTAATGCTGCTGCTGCTGCTGCTAATGCTGCTGCTGATGCAGCAGCAGCAAAAGTGAATTGCAATTTCGTTACCTTCGAGTCCTCGTCATAGAAGCGGTAGATATCCCTAGGGTTTTCATGTAGCATTAAATAATACTGATAAACGAATGCATGCGCTATTTCCTGTGTGCAGGCCATTGCCTCCTCCTCAGATGCCGTCATCTGCTGCTGTTGCTGCTGCTGCTGCTGTTGGGGCTGCTGCGGCTGCTGTTGTTGCTGCTGTTGCGGCTGCTGGGGCTGCTGCTGCTGCTGCGCTAGAACCGAAGAACTATGCAAGGCGGAGCCGTAGGCGGTGCTGCTTGGAGGCTTCAGCAGCAGCAGCACAGCGCAGCACAGCACAAAACACAGCAACAGATGCAGCAGCAGACGAAACAGCAAATGCAGCAGCAGCATGCTGCAGGGGTTGTTGCATGCGGGGTACATAAAGTGCAGCAGAGTATATACACTGCAACAGGAATTTGGGAGTAAAGAACCTGCACCATGATGACGAAGGGGGGCCCTGGGGAGTACAGAGAGAGACCTACCATGGCAGGCTGGAAGGCGGAGCCTTCCTGCTGCTTCTGCTGCTGCGCTGCTGCGCTTGTGTTGCTGACAGCAGCAGCATGCTGATAGACATCAACGCCTGCATACGCCGCCAGGTGAGGGTATGTTTGAGGGTCTGCTGCGCTGGCTGCATCGTACTGCTGAGGAGGGGTAAATCCTGTCTTTTTGGTTGGATCTGCAAAGGGGCTTGAAAATGCTGCTGAGTTTGTGCTGTACACGGAGGTAGTTGTTCCTTGCTGCGCCTGTGCACTTGCGGGTATAAAAGGCGTGTGGGGGCTGTGAGCAGCAGCAGCAGCAGTAGGGACTCCGTAAGCGGACATTTTAGACGGAATTTACGGATAATATAGAGGGAAATAAAGGACCAGACAAGAAATTGTCCTTTTAAAAGACATAAACTCAACCAACATTCAAACACTCATGCAGCCGCCGCCCCGTGCGCTCCGGCTGGGCTACTGAGGGGGCGCCGTTGCTGCTGCTCGATATGCAGGGTCGATACACCTGAATTTAAAGATCTGCACCAATTTAGCAAACAAATTCAACTCCAAATTCAATCACTTATTATACTCTTCACTCGCATCAATGCCCTCGCACCCAACCCTCTTCGAGGTGTACGTACACCGCCAGTTCGGCTGCTACTGTTGCTGTTCTTGGCGTTGGGCGCCCAGCCGCAAGCTACCAACAAATTGCCTTTATATATAATATTATTACTATTAAAAGGACTCTTTTTACGTTGCTTTTCCACTCCCAACCCTCAAATATACTACATTTCCCCCCCGAACCACGTAATTGCCTCCTCGCCCAAACTAGGATAGAGGGCCTTCAACGTATATGTCGCTACGTTCTTTAGCTGGGGAGTGGGTTGGTTATTTCACTTTCTTGTAGTTATACCTCCATGCAAACTTAGTATATTAGGGCAACAGACTGCTATTAATTAGCGATCGGCTTCCCCGTCGGGCGCGCCTACTGCTACTTGCACTGTACCTGAACTGTTTCTCGGAGGCTAACAGGTTTCTAGAAGAGTTGTATGCAGTAATTTCTCACAGAGGTTAGTGCGTATAGTTTAAGGTGACCGCATGCTGAGCACTGAATGCCACTTGGGCTGTAGCTGTACGCTTCGTGCATGCACCGAGTTGGGGCTTGGTTGTGCTTGCATGTGGGGTTGCCAGGAGAGGTGCTTTACAGAGCGGGTGTACGAATAAGGCATCCTTCTATACTAACTGTTTTCTGTACATATATATTTATTTATTTGTTTATTTATTTATTGATTTGTTGCATGGGTATCTACTCTTCCTAAGTGCTCGCCTGTACTGCCTTTGTGCTGAGATTTGGATCACTACCCAAGTTACGGATATCCTTGTACCCCCACTGAAAAAGCTATTATCTTTTGTATATTTTATAGATGGGCGCCCTTTTGGAGCTCGCATTACCCCCGCCTCGTGTGGCTGTCAATGATGCGCTTGGGGTGTAGTTCGTTGCAGATTAATTGATTATAGGGTGGGATGCTCTTCCGCAAACCACGCAGAAGCCGCAGAGTGCCGTATCTGACCACATATCATGCCGGTATTAGCTGGAAATACTTTGCTATCCCGCCGCCTGGCTTGTGTAGATCAGCTAGCTTCGGCGCGTTGTGTAGAGTCGTGCAGAGGTTACAGAAAAGTAAAATATTGCGTTAAATGCCCAGCAAGGTGACAGACCGAGTGGGTCTTTGAGGATCCCTTACGCAAAAGAACGTCTTAGGAGCATGTAGGCGCACTTCGCCAATTAGTGGCGACGCGTATGTGTGGCGCAGTTTAAATTTGGGCAGCAAGCAACCATTTGGTAACCGAACTCTGTATTGCCTAAAGAGTCTCACATCGTTATATCCAGGTGGCTTTTGCCGCTAATTTTTCCACTCCGTGATCAGCGCCGTTGCCTCTATCTATAGCTACCGGCATTACCGTCGCTAGCACTGTTAGTTTTTTCGTGTTCCAAGGCAATGGCTTCCTGGGAAGCACCGCTGCAGCGTGGGGAGTCTTCACCTTGCGACACCCATGAGTGTATCCCGGGGGTTTTACCCTTATTCTTGCAGACCCCAACAGTCTCTGGATAAAGAAAAAAAGTAACAATAGCCTTGTGCGGCGAAGTGGACGCACTAAGGGGCCACAAACAGCAACGGCCACAGCAGCTGTAGCGTAGATGTGATGCGACGCACTGCAACATTCTTCCAGCTAGCGCCAAATATACCCACCTTACCTTACGCCACCTTAACTGGTGGGGGAGGCTCCCTGCCGCTCCGCTTCACTCCGCTTGCGCTGCCTTTGAATATCTCTCACTCGACTTCCTTTGCTTCTAGCCCTGCATGCACAGCAGTACCCAGTGATGCAACAGCTGACCCAGGCGCAGCACCCACAGCAGCAGCCACTCCAACACCAGCAGAGGCAACAGTCACGTCCTCGGCAGAAGCTGGCGCACCAACCGAAACAGCAGCAGCAGCAGAAAGTGCAGCTGCGCAGCCAACAACATTTACCCAGAGGCGTCTGCTGCATGGATGGGCGTGCACAGGCCCGCGTGAATTTAGGCAGCGTAAAACCTGTTGTTTAATCATGCTCGGCCACACTTAGAGGATATCATCTCTTTTTACCTTCATGGTCTTCAGCTCCAATAACTTTTCACCCCAACTGGTGGGCCTCCCTGTACCTACGATTACACTTTCATTTCTTTCGTATTTTGGAGCTTCGCCGAGCCTTACGGGGCGGTTGATCCCCTATCTGCACATGCACTGATGTGGCTTGTTGGCAGCGGCTCACTGATCGTTTTTGATTAGCTTTGGCTCCCCAAATAAAACGGAGCCTCGGAACTCAGGTGCCAAGGAGAAAGTGTCGTAATAACCGGTGGAAGGCCAGGGCCGCCGCAGGAACATGGGGCTGGCAGCAGCAGTAGCAGTTAGAAACTTCTTCTCCAGAAGTCGCTCTCCGTTTCCTCCCTGCTATTTTTTCCCTTTCTTTCTTCGACGGCCTGGCCCTTCTCCCGCCTTCGTCCCACCTACCCGTAATTGAGCGGCCAGGCAGACGAGAGCGTGTGCTGCTCTCAAGGGGAAAAAAATACAGCATGCTGCACTCAATGACTGGAATCCTCCACATATAATCCCCACGACTTTGTCCCGCTTCGCCCAGGACGCCTGGAGAGAACATTCCTCCTGCAAGATGGGCGACCCTTGCTGCTGGGAGGGCAGATGCACAAGTTCTCTCTGATAGACGGTATATGCCCTAGTATATGTATCTATGTTGGCTGGTAGAATCCACGAGTGCAACCGGTAATTCTAACGTGGTTTTGTTGCGTCGGGAAGATGAGGACCAATTTTTTACCTGTTGTTGCTTGTGCGTGGGCGAGTTGCACGAGGGAGCGCATAAAAAGGGGCAATCCGGCTTCCGGAACAACCGACCAAAGGAACATGAGACTGAGTAAGCATGCCTGAATGCCAAGCCAGAAAATAACCGTCTTTCACACCAGAGGAGCACGCATGGCATTTATGCTAAAGTTGAGAACGTGCGTTACAGTCCGGGCAATCAAAAGCGAAGTAGTTTCTACTCGTTTAACTGCTCAACGAAGTTTATCAGTAATTCGACGGCTGCCTTGACTTTATAGTAAGAATCAGTATCTGTAGCAGATAGGCATAAGCGTAGCAGGCATAAGCGTAGGCGGTGAAGGTTAGGACAGTGGTTGTACTGACACAGCTCTCATCCACGGCTGTTAGTCCGTGTTACCCAATACAGACCGCACCCTATAACTATCGCTACACTCAGCGAAGCGAGTCTTCCATTGATTAACCAAAAAAACGGGCAGAACCCTTAAAAACCACATTCGTATCTCATAATCTTAAAAAGAAAAACCAAGAATAATAGAAGTCCGCCTGCATGACCCCTTAGCGGGTCGGCGCCTGGGCGGCAGTGCCAACCTCGCAGCCAGCCCCGGATCACGGGTCTTTGCTGAGCAGCCTTGGCCTCAAGGCTTCTTTTTCTATCTACTGTTACTAGATTCACTTCTGCTAAGACTTTATCTTTTAATATTTTTGCTTGATAGGCCGCTAGAGGACCAATTTGAGCACCAGTGCGCTACAGTCGCGCACACAACCTCCCGTACGCGCTGCCCTTATTGGCTCGTTGGGTTTCTTATTTTTTGCCGCTTCATTGTTGGGATTGGAGGGTAGCGGAAGTGTGCTTGTTAAGCACTTTGTCTTGCCGATCAGCATACTCACAGGATGCGCCAGTCAGGGCGATTGCTGTCGACGCAGTGAATATTCTGAGTTCATAGATTTTAGTTTGCTGGCTGTGCTCCATCTACTATCACCTGGTAAGACTTGAGAGGTGTGTGCCCGTTGGTCTCAATAGCTGGGCCTACAACAATCTTCTGCTCAGCAGGTTGTTGCGCCCCGAACGCCAACCTGCCCGGAAGAAGACGGCTACTTCTGGTGGCCGTCTGGGGCAGAGTGCACAAAAACAACTATATGGGAGGGCAAATGAAGGGAAAGCTCTTAAATACTTATCTGAATGTATAAAAGGGGTTTTTGTGGTTTTGTCTGCCGTTATTGCAGACGTGTGAGTGTGGGGGTTCAAGACCGACAGGTGAGATGAGGAGGGCTCGATGGTGGCGGCTGGATCCCCTGGGTCTTCGGGGGTGTATTCGGTGTTCCCACAGACGAAAACCAGTTAAACTCAGCACATGACTCATTTCGATGCTATTGAAACCAAAGAAAATTTTATTTAGTTGGATTCTGCTCTTCACTGCCAAGGCAGAGGCGGAGGGGGAGCAGCAGCGGCTCCGCGGTCGTCGCTCCGTGGCTTCTGCGCCATCACTTGCTTGGGGAGGAGCAGCAAAATGAAGGAGTATTTTTGCATTTATCTGCATTGCATGAGCTGTATTTGATTATTTAGTGTCTAATGCGTCAAGTTTCGGCCTTTTCTGCCTCGTATTCCCTTGGGTTTACGCCGCGACCTTCCACTGATCCACCGGTCCTGGTTCGTTGCCCGCTGTGGATGTCATGACGCCGCATTCACTTTTCCATGCTTTATCTCAACGCAGCGTAAGGGTGTTCAAAACTTTCTCCTATTTTGTACATGACGAACGAGTTCTGAACTCCATCATCTGCTGCGCATCTGCTGGTTGCTCTCTTGAACAGCTCCAAGCGGCCCACAGGGAGCGCGAGATAGTCCTTTATTCGGAATCATGAGAAAGTACACCCCTCAAGTTTGAATTAAAAGCTTTTGCTTGGACGTGGATCATCTGCAAGGTCCCACCGACGGCTTCTTCTGTCTACACCCGTACTACATCTCTGTGTCCCTGAGTCATCGGCGTTCAGCTTTATGTATCGCTTCGCGTCCACCCGTCCTTCTTCTCCTTGCTAGGGAATATTAGGTTTTCAGCCATAATTTAAACCAACTGCGATCAGCACTCATTTGATCTTTCAGTTGCGTCTGGAGCTCAGCGGGAACCGGGAGAACAAGCAGCTGGCTGCGAGCTGCCCGCCGCTTTTTGTTGGGAGTTGAAGGGCTTTGAATGGACACTGAACAAAAGCCCTTCAGCGCATGTGTTTTTCTGTTGTGAGCTGCTGAATTGATCACAGAACAAAACACCTATCTCCAACAGGCGACCTACGCGCACTTCACAGTGTGGTGAGCTGCTGTGTACAGACAGGCAGCTTGCTCGATAAGGATGGCTGAAACAGGAGTTTGCAGCAATCCTAGCTCTGCATGCAGTCTGCTGTCTAAACCATTGAAGCCTCCAAGAAAATGCCTTTGTGGAAACATTTGCCACGCCGAAGGCAGCGACGAGGACAGCACTCCAACAACTGCGCCCCAAACCCCCAGCTCCTGTGAGGCCTCTGAAGGCGTCGCGCGCCGCCTCAGGTGTATAGACAGCGCATCTATGAATGATAAGGGGCAGCATAAGACTGCAGAGACAATCGGGATGCCCACAGCAAATGAGGTGCAGCAGGGGCTGCGTAATAATGGCCTCAAGGGAGGCGCTAATCTTCCTAAAGGGCAGCCGACAGCAGCAGCAGCAGCAGAAGCATCTCAAACTATTCATATAACGCTTACTCCTGCGCCAAAGCAAGAGTCTAGCGCCACCTCCAGTTGCTGCCCGCAGGGGATCACTAGGCTGCGTCCCACCCCAAGCGGCAGCAGCAGCATACCGTGCATGCAGCGCGCTCCTGCTGCTACTACTGCTGCTGCTGCACCTGCTGCTGCGAATCCCAGTGCGCATGGTTTAATACCGTCGAGGGAGGAGGAAACAAAGACAGGGGCAGTCTGTGCACCGCCAGCAGCGGCCGGCGACCAGCAGCAGCTGCAGCAGCTGCTAGAGGAATATAGTCTTCGTCGTTCTGCCTTTGAACGCAACAGCAGCCAGCGATATGAAAGGGTGTTGGATTCTGGAAGACCGCGGAGGCGATCGAGTGCCCTGTGGAATGTGAATCAAAGCGGCAGCCAAATGCGGCTGCAGGCGCAGGCTCCCTCTGGGGGGGCGCATGCAACTGGGGCGCATGCTCGTAGGAGGGGGCAAGACGGCGAGACAGCGGAAGCTGTGACTTCTTCTTCAGGAGAAGAGGCCTCGTGCAGAGCAAACGAGGAAGCTGCAAATGCGAGAGACAGCCAAGGGTCCCAGGGGCAGCAGGAGGGAGGGGCTGCACGACGAAGTAGAGGGGGGGCCCACCGCTCTTTCCCTTACCGGCAGTTTCATGTTCATCATTTCCTGCCAGAGCCACAGAACAAAGTGGGACTGCTGACCCATCCAACTCCTGCGCAGTTCAATAAGTACCCGAAAGCTCGAGGCGTCTGGTTCGACCCCCACCGCAATCTTGTGCGCACCTGCTGGAAGGAGAACGGGAAGGCAAGGACTATGGGGTTTCCTGTGAATAAGTTTGGCCTGGAAGAAGCCCGTACATTAGCAGTTGAATACCATTATTATAAATGTCCCACGGACCCGCTCCCTGACGATCTTTTGTCACTCGTCCCCAGGAAACCCCCGCATGCATACGGCTGGTGTTAGCTGTGCTTACATACACCCCGCCGGCACTCTGAAAATAAGAATGCATTAGAATCATTGCACTCCATTTCAGTGTAGCTTAAATTAAGAAAGGCATATATTCGTGCCTTCAAATGCGGACGAAGCAACAACAACGCAGTGCACTTGCTGGGACCTCTAGGATGAACTGCTAGCGAGTAGACGAGCTCTGGGCTGTTCAAAATGATTTGTTCTAGTTTAAGAATTATGCGAAACAGAGGAATGAAATTCAACGCCAGGAGAGGCTACTGAGCCTTTTGCACGCCGCACTTTGGCGGTGTGCGCGCGCCTGAAATTTCTTAGGGTTGCATTTGTTAGAGGGAATACTTTTGAGGCTAGCACTTGGTGCTTTGCCCAATGCATTGTCGTATTCTATGAGTGAAGGATGCGGAACAGCAGCAAAAAGCTGTAGAAGGGTGTTTGTTGGGTCTCGCAGCGCTTTCCCTGTCTGGTTTCAGACCCCTTGTTCGAACAACAAAACCATCGACTTAACGAATATTTGAATTTTTCAGACAAGCATTTAAAAATAAAACCCTCTGCTGCGTTTTCCGCGTTTCGCAGAGGCAGTTCTCGGTAGCTGTTGTCCATTCTTGCTTGTTCCAAAAACCAAACAAGAAAACATGTTTCACTTGAGGAGAAACATAATAAAGATAACAATGGCCACGACTCCAGCCACAGCCATCCAAACCCCTGTCCACTTTAGGCCAGACATAATAGCACTGCTTGCTGCCCCAACCGTTTCGTTTATCGCTTCCCAGTCTACATACGTTCTGTTTTGTGTCACAGCCGGGAGAAATGGGTCTCTATTTGGCTCTTCTCTGCCCTGGCCTACAGGCGAGTACTCCGCCTCCTTCAGAGGCAAAATACTCGCCTCTACCTCGACAGAGCCCCGCGATCGTCCTTTAAAAGCCGGATGAGTGCAGCGTAACCAAAACCTGAAGGCGAAAAAACGTTGAGGAGTATGACGTGAATGTTTTTGTCCGCCTTACCAACCATCAAATCCTTTTCTCAGTCTCGAAGCCAATGCAATGCAAGCACGTGGGTGGTACCGTGCGCAGCATTAGGAACCAGGAAGATACGTGTTTTGCATCTCCCCCCACAGAATGTACGTATACATGGACACCCGAGCACGTCACCAAGCAACGACAGCCGCGACTCTTTGAGCTGGTTTGCCTTCCCCTGTGTTTATATTTATGTCTGTGTTGGAGTATTTTTGTGCTTGTTTGTGTTCGTTCGTGCATGTTCACTTACTTGGGCAGTCGATAGATTTGTCCTCTTTTCCTAGCTCTGAAGAAGTCGGCCGTTAAGTCGAAATTGCATTCGCCGATGGGTTCGCCTGAGCTAAGGACTGCATAATTCCAAATCTGCACTTTGAGGACTGGAATCGGTGCGGGAATTTTCACGTCAAAGACGCATCTCCAGTTAAACACTCCGGAACCGTCTTTGCTGTTGTAGTGTGTGTCCGTGTCTCGAACGATCTCCGAGTTCTCCTCCAACGTGAATATTGAACGCACAAACATCGAAATCGATGAACTGTCGTCCAGGGGAACTGCCTTCACGCGCCATATCACCAACTGCACACACGCAGAAAGCTAAAGCATAAACTTTCAACTATAAAACAAGAGAGAAACAAACGAACCAACGGAGCAGAAGAATTCGTGCAGTATTCGTCACACGTACGGTGCACATAGAAAAATACTACTACTTAGATTCCACTTCTGTTAATCACGCAGGTGCAAGTGGCCTTATCTACATACATGCAGGGTGCATATGGAGCGCGCGTACTTTCCACATGCGCCCTGCATGCATACATCCCACTTTAATCATACACTGCCCGTACTGGTTTGAGGACATTGGGGCACATCTTGGCATCTATGAGCTCCAACTGTGTGTTGCGCACTACATGCGTACATTCATTTATGTACAATAATATATTACAAATAATTCGTACTATTGGCTTAATTAATAGAGAGCAAATATGCTTGCAGGAGCACACAGCTGCTTGCGCTTGATCTGCGCTTCAATGCAAGCACACGGATCTGCATCAGTAGCCGCAGAGATTCTAGAGCGTACCCTCAGCTGGAAGTCATCAGCCTCTGCACTTGCGAGAGTGAAAGGCGGATGTTCATGAGCATAATCCTCCGTCATTATTTCAAAAAAACCCCTCAACGTCCCGTGGGAAACGGTACTGCCCTCAACCTTGAGTGTTCTGCATGATACAACGACAGAACAACCCAGCGGAGAAAGAATCCGCGCGGTCTACATAACACATATTAAAAAGACGAGTAAATGCTGCAAACACAAGCTGAAAAGAGATGATACGACACACCCGAAACCAGAGATAGCGCACGAACACTGAAAACAAAACGCACACGGGAACAAGTGTCATAAGCACAGATATCAAAAGAAACAGTATGTGCAAGGCCTCGACGAAACCATGCTGGTGATAGCGCTGTACGCTGTACAAGAAGCAACGGAGCCGGGGCAAACCAGTGAAAAGCACAAACGAACGCCACGTGATACAATTGCTTGCAATCAATCACCTGAGTTCAATTGGTGTTATTTCTTGTTCTACCATTGCCGCCACCTTTGGGTTAAAGAACCGGTCCTCCATATCTATGAACGTCCTCCCCACACATTCGTCCATCACCCGCCCTTGATTCATTATGGCTACCTGTGAGCAGCAAGCAACAAATGATGCCTTCAGATTGCCGTCCCTGTTGTGTGTGCTTGAGGTGTTTTTTCGTGGTTATGGACGCATCCGCTGTTTCATGTTCTTTGGGGTGTGCGGCCTTCAAGGTACAGATATCCTCCCCTTTCCGCCTGATGGCATCTTCCCCATCGCTATCCCCTCCGAACTCTAATTCCTAAACTCTAGATCCAAAAAGATTAAACCGTACGTCATGTTCACGCGCCAGCGAGGCCTCAGAACGAACCAACGAATAAAAACAAACACAAACGAATGAATGAAATCCCCTGCCTACCTGTACAACTGCATGCTCCGGAAGGGAGCAGGCGAGTCCGTAACACCTGTTGAACTCGGGTTTAAAGCCCTGTTTTTTCACGTGTCCTGAGTCTTTTAAGTTATGCGTCAGGCCGCCAGAAAGCGTTGCAGTGCTCGAGGAGTTGTAAATCCAAACGTAAGTTTGAATATCAGAAGCCCCAGAAGGAGGCACCAAACCCCGAGCCGCCAATATGTATGCGCGCACCACGAGGTCGCGCGTTGCTGCGCAGAAGTTGAGAAGTGAAACAGTTGGATTGCAACAGAAAGAAATCAAAGTGAACAGTGAAACGCTTAGGTTTAAAGGGACGAAGATCAAGAGGCACCACGGTAAAAACAGGCATAGATCAAGTGTACTGTGAAACGCTTAGGTCTAGATAGACAGAAATGATAGTGAACTACCGGAACGCGAAGTCAAGTATTATGCAAGATAGGCAAACGCATTGGAATCAGATAGGCAAGTGCATTGGAAGCACGAAAATTGAAAAGGAGATATATAAATAGGTGGCAAGCACATTTGCTCAGAACCTCTGACGGCATGGATATGAAGCCACACCTTAAAACAGATCAGCGAATAAAAGCAAAAACATAAAAAGAGTCGGCACGAAAAACGCATCATTGAATTTCAATTGCATGAACTCTACAGCACAGAACACACACCAACTCGGCGACGACAGCCGAGGCGCTCACGGGCAAGCCATTCCTAGCAATAGTACGAGTGCATTGCCTGCCCTTGCTGATCCACGTTATTGGTTGCATTACTAAACTAAGCCGACCCTACTTACCATGCGTATAATACCATACTAAATACTATATATGAGAATATGCTAGTTTTATCACTTCGTCGTTTGTTCGTTTGATGTACGCAGCCACGAATTGCACTGTGTAAACACTGATAAAAACCCACTTTCATACTTTTGCACCAACTCCTGGCACACTTTGTTCATTTCTTCCATTTCGCTGCTGCACTCCTCGCCTTGATAGACCCTACATATGTACTTGAGGTACCCGACCGTCTCGGGAACGCCACAGTCAGTGCACTGAGGCAAAAAACAACAACCGCTCCAAATAAAATATGAGGCAACACTGGATAGGATTTATATGCATAAAATTATTAAAATTATATTATCGAACCGCGGAAACGAACCGTGATCTGAACCAGCCTCTGGTAGTCCTAAACCCTAGGCTACGCCTTAAACGCTAAACCCTAAATACTCCACTGAAGAGTGCAGAAACCTCCAGCATATATATAGAACGTATATATGACAAAAAACAGCAAGCTTCCGTATTACTCCCTAGGCAAATATGCTCGTGCTTGTGCTTTATCTCCGCTCCTTGATTTGTGTATTTATTCTGTTGTTCGATTGGGATACAACGAAAAAGAAGAGGGAGACGCACTCTGAATATTGGCACCCTGAGATACGGCAGGTCGTTAACACCAAAGTCGGTCTCCATTTCGTACGGTATTTCGTCCCTCATGTTTTCTTCCACTTCGTCTTCGTCTGCCTGTCCCGCAGCAGGGAAACGCAAATAGATAAGCAACAAGAATAATACGAATGATCGAGGGGCTATTTGTATAAATTGATATATATATATATATATATGCACAAATATATATTGTATATTTTTCTACTGCACTATATATATATTATATAT